GCAATGGTGGTTTTGTGATGAGGGTAAGGGAGTGATTGGTGTGGCTAGTGGCTGCGAAGCTGTTGTTGTTGTGGGCTGGTCAGGTAATTGGCGTGGGCTGCGGTTTGTGTTGTGGTGGCAATGTGGAGGTCGCTAAAGATTCTGGGGTTGCGGTGTTAGGTGATTGTGGGGATACGGCCGTGCGTGAGCTGATGGATGTTTTTGTGGCTGTTAAAGCGAATTGGTAGCTAGTGGAGCAGGGGCTGTGTGTTTGGTGGTCCTGCAAGGGAAGGAATCGAGGAAGTGGGAAAGGGTTTTTAATTTTTTTTAATTATCCTTTTTTTTAAAAAAAATTATTAAAAAACGAAAATCAATAAGAAGGTGACACGTGTTAAGTCACCTTCTTAAACAGGTTTTATTAATTTGACAAATCAGTTAAAGGCTCGTTTTGAGCAGATGGGGGTGAAAAGTGAGATTATTTCTAGATTTCAAATAAGTGGGATTCTTTTGAGCAGAAAAGCTAAATGTGTGAATGTGTGATTATTAATTTTCATTTTTTCTTTAAAAAAATACTCTACATAGTATTAACTATTTTTGTCTTCGTCTAATTAATTTTTTTTAAATATACATTTTTGTCTAAGATAAACTTAATTTTCTTATATTTCCTAATTGCAATTTTCCCCCTTGGAGCTCTTTTACGCTTCACCCCTCTTTCTCTCTCCTCCATTGAAGCGGCTTCCGAGCTTTCTATCATCCATTGAAGTAGTGGTGGAGCCAATGTGGGTTTAAGTGGGTTCATTGAACCCACTGATTTTTTGAAAAAATATAAAAACTTTTTTTTAAAAAAAAAATAAATTCAAAATAGGGTTAAATAGAATATTTGCGTATTATTTGGTTACAAGTAAAGCTGTATCCCAAAGGTTATTTTTACCTCCCATCACGCAAGAGTTTGTGGGTTCAAAACCCATAACTCACACTTTTTGTTTTTTTAATTTTGTTTCCCTGTTTTCCTCAAAAGTTCGAAGCTTTCCTCATCCTCATTCCCCCAAATTGCAAAACCCTAACTTCTTCCTCCTTCTCTTCCCGTCTTCCAGAGTTCCGGCAGCGGCGCGCCGGCGCAACAGAACACGGCCGCAACCTCGCATCCCCGCAGCGGAGCAGAGTCAGCAGACCCACCGGTCACACCGTCACGACCGTGTAGGTAAGTGAATTTGGGGATTTTTTTTTTTGCAAATGTAGTTTACTTCTCAATTTGGGGATTTTTTTTGCTAAATCGTAGAATACTTGAAATTCATATGCTAATATACATTACAAATTATGTCTCCCAACGAGGTTAAATATGAATTTATTTGTTTATAATTCAACGAGTTTCGATTGATTTTTCCTCTTTTTGTCTGGAATTTTCTAGGTTTTCTAGTTTGATTGATTTTATGTATGTTTATGTGCTTTGATATTGCAGTTGTGGCTGATTTGGTTGCTGAGACTAGCAAGTATGTTGTTCCGAAGCGATTCGAGAGTCGGAATCTCGAAGAAGCTTTAATGACTGGTACTCCTTCATCTTCCTCTTAGCTAAGCCTCTCTTGTTGATCATTTAACTAATCAGAGCAAGTTTTTATGAATTCAGGTAAGATTTTATCCTAAATAGTAATAATTGTATATTAGCATTGAGAAATTTGATTTACATGAATTTGAAATATTGCTGGTTTAGTGAAGATTGGGTATAATTTGCTAATTTACTTCTCAAGTTCTTAATTTGGGGATTTTTTTTTGTTACATTGTTGAATTTCATATGCTATTTCGTTTTCTGCCTTCTGGATTTCATATGCTATTTCGTTTTCTGCCTTCTGGATTTCGTTTACTAATTGACTGTAAATCTTTAATTACGATAGTTTTAATTAGTCTTCATAATTTATTAGTCCCAAATGATTTTTTAAATATGGTTAGCTGATTAAAAACTGAGCAGTGGTTTTGATTAGCCGATTTGGGGAAAAATCCTCCAGAAATTGAAGTTTTGCTTGACTGCTTGTGAGTTGTGACCGTATATTTGAGTAATGAGTATTTGAGCCGTAATGCCGTATAATAGTATAATTTCTATTTAATTTATACTGATTTATTATTTGATTATTTCTGATATTCTATTTCATTGATAATTTGATATTGTCAAATTGATTATTGAATTTATCATTCATTCATTCATTTATGTACTGAATATTTAATTATTATATTTTTATTCCTTTGTTAATTACGATTTCAAATTTCCGAAGTTTCGAACCCACACTTCGAAAATCCTGGTGACGCCACTGCATTGAAGGCGTTGAAGCATTTTCCGAGGTAAAATATTTCTCCATTTTTTTGGGTTAAGTGTATCAATTTTATACTCTGGGGTTTAATTTCACACTGTTGTTATTAATTTCATTGTCAGCGTTCAATTTAGGGTTCTTCTAAGGTGGATTATTGAGCTATTAATTATAATTACTTAAGTTACGAAAGATTATTGATCGATTTTGTTGCTAGAATTTTGCTGCGCGCTGTTATTAATTTACCTTGATATTCTTAAGTGAGATGAATTTTATGTGATTTTTCGAGCCTAATTTGATGATTGAGTGAAATTTGTTTGCTAATATTTTGCATTTTTCAAACATTATTCGCTGGTGCTGGCAATTATCCGTAGAATTCGAAAATTCCATACTCGAGCCTAACTTGATGATTGAGTGAAATATGGTTGCTAAACTCCGTGTTATACTTCGTATAGGACAATAGGTACATGGCATTCATATATTAAGTCAAAGCTATAACTACATTGAAGCACAAAAATGGTGATTGCATTATTGTTTTCAGCTTTAAGAGAACTTGAACATTACAAAGGGATCTCAGACATATGCTATTGCAGACATATTCAATATATAATCTTAAGAACCAAAACAAAGATGCTTGACTAAATTCATAAGCACATAGCAGTGCAGCTTGTTAGCTAACCTTGTCATCAACATTTGTGAAGTTTCGAACGGACTTCATAACCCAGATCCCTGCCAAAGTGCCAAATCATCAGAGAACATAAGATCAGCACTAATCAATAACTAAAAACACACCTAACTCGTGCAAAAGTTGGAAAAAAGGATAATTAATTCATCACAGTGTGTTTGGATAACAAATTAAAAAGGAAAGGAAGTGAAGAGGAAGGGAGAGAAGGGGAGGGGACGGAGGAAAAATTTTAATTCCATTGTTTGGATGATGGAGAATAGGAGGGAACGGGAGGGAAATTTGAAGCAGGGGAAAGAAGAGAGAAAGTAAAAAGGGGTGAAAATTAGGCAAAGAAGCAGGGGAAAGGAGGTGAGAATAGAGGCAAGGAAAAGAGATGACGCAGAACTTATGTGAGGATTGTTACCATTTTCTTTCCAAATCTCTCCAATTTTGGAGAGATTAATTTCTTTAATATCGAAGGACACAATTTTGTCAATTTCCTTCCATTCCCCTCGCCTCCTTTTCCCTCACCTTCTTAATGTACTATCCAAACAATAGAATCCTTCTCTCTCTCTTTTTTTTTTTCCTCTCCTCAAATCCTTCAATTCAAACACACAGTTAGTAGTCAGCCTTCCATCTTTAGACATGTATTCAGATTTACCACTTACAGCCACTAACATGATAAATTAAACCCTCAAATTCACTAGATAAATCTTTTTAGTCTGTCAGTTGTTTATATAAGCGGGTTTGACTAGATGATTGTTTAAGTTCGTTGTGTATAAGTGTTTGGTATATAATTGTTAACTAATAGCTACATTGTGTAAAATGACCAATAAGGATATATGCATAATTTGATCAAACGTGGTAGAGGGTAATACATTTGATCAACTTTGGGATAGGAGAGTTGTTTCCCCTCAACTACCACAAACCTCAACTTTGATCGTTTTACTAGCATTTTCGGAATTAGCTTTTTGGACTCAAAACTAGAAGTATCTCTCTACCAAACACTCAATTAGAGGTTTGAGTTATTCAAACCTTTCATTCTGCTCTAAACCTCTCCTAACCAAACACCCCCTTAGTAAACTTGATTTGGTTTCCAACAAATATGTCTTTGTATTGATTAGTGAGTTCAGTGTTGTCTAATTCACTAAACCCTTCTTTCCTCAAAACTATGATTCAAAAAAGTGAATTATTATGTGCTAGTAGTACCCTTTTTGGGGTAATTTACAAATAGGTCATGACTGTCATTCTATTACCTAAATTCGTACCACGAACCTGGGTTCTAGATAATTATGGTGAAATAATTAAAATCAGATTTATTATGACGCTAAATTATTGATTTTTAAGTATAGACTACTTGCTCTTAATATTAGATCCATATGCCATTTTATATAGTGATGGAGTCATGTTATAATATGAATTTGCTTTACCAATTTAAGAACTGGAATAATACTTGAACTAATTTTCTAATTTATTAGCATCAATAAAGGAAGTATTAATTAGGCGTGGGTTAAAGATTGAAACCATGGTCTAGTGTAATGATTATAGAATCCTAATGAGACCTTAGGTTAGTATCCATGTCATGGATCTTAGCTGCATCCTCTAAAGAGTATATCATGCCAAATATGGTTATGAATTCCATACCTTTATGATTATAAGCGTTGACTTAATGAATAATTTACATACATTATTCTTAGTAAAATGTTTAAACTGGATGATTCTCAGCAAGAATAACTTATGGTTTTATTTCGAATGGTAGTACGCCCTTGATAAATCAATATACCTTAGTATATCGAATAGTTGAACTTATTTAGTAGAGGTGTAATCAGTTTCTGAAGACGTGGGTTTTCTTTGTGATATTGCTGATTCCTCGGAACAAGTGTTCTGTATTCTCTTTTAATTTGTATTTTCAGTGACTGCTTATCTGCATGCAGTGGAAGTTTATTGATGAATTTACTAATATGCAATAGTTGATTATGCAGATTGATGATAGCACTCTGGGCATCCTGCATAAATCTTGTTTTTTCTTATTTAACTTCTCTCCTTTTTACTTTAAATAGATGTCGCTAAGAAAAGCTCCACTTCCTCGCGTAATTATCAACAATGCATCTTGCATGCGAAATGCCCAACAAATTTTGCGCCATGTTAATGCCTCTGTTCATGATGGCGGTGCACTTGTGCTGACAGGTAGCAATGGTTCAGGCAAAAGCACTTTCCTCCGCATGTTAGCTGGCTTCTCCAAGCCTTCTGCTGGAGAGATCCTTTGGGATGGGCATGACATTACGCAGTCAGGAGTATTTCATCAGTATAAGCTCCAGCTTGGATGGGTTTCTCTTAAAGATGCTGTCAAGGAAAAATTTACAGTCCTGGAAAATATTCAGTGGTTTGAACTTCTTGAAGGAAAAGAAGGAAGATCTCTTCCGGCCTTGGAGCTTATGGGTTTGGGAAGGTTGGCAAAGGAAAAGGCAAGGATGCTGTCAATGGGTCAGCGAAAAAGACTTCAGCTTGCTAGGCTGCTGGCAATTGATAGGCCTATTTGGTTGCTGGATGAGCCATCTGTTGCTTTGGATGATGATGGTGTAAAATTATTGGAGTATATAATTGGTGAGCATCGAAAGAAGGGAGGAATTGTGTTTGTGGCAACTCATCTGCCTATCAAGATTGATGATGCAATGTACTTAAGGTTGCCACCTAGATTTCCTAGACGGATGACTATGATCGATATGCTTGATCGCAGTGACATTGCTTGATTTTATGAGGCTGGTGGTTAATTTCTTTGAGGTTTTGTTATAAATTTAAACCAAGACTGAGGCATGTTAATTAGCTTTTCATTAGTAAACTCAGCTAACAGCATATGGTACTCGACTTCTTCCCCATGCTAGACCTTTGCAAGGTTTGACTCCATCAGCAGCAACATGACAATTGGCTTTGGTGAGGATTTATTTCTTTGATGACTCAGATTCCTTTGTGTTCTCTGGGCCTTTTATGGTCTTATACTTGAGTTTCTCTAGTTCATTGGGTCTTCATTCTACAATCAGCTTGCAACCCTTTCGTTGCACTCCAAAGTGATGAATGCTGCCTGTGTGATTGTGAATTATGTTGGCATTTTTGTTCCGCGGTGATGTATTATAGAATCAGCATATTGGGAACTGAAAGAGCATCGCAAATGCTGCGGGCTCTAGCCTCTCTCTTATGGAGTGGAGTTTATGATGGATTATATAACACCCATTGGAATTATGCTCCATGAAGTTACAGTTCCAAAACTGCATTAGTTCGATTTTTTGCTGTCTATGAATTGTATCTTGGATATTAAATCCTTAATCTGTCTTCTTTCATTAAATTGCAAATCCGTATCATTTGTGTACAAAGTTCGAGAGTAATACTCGTAATGATTAATGGCTTGTTCCTTAACAATTTATAGCTTTGGTTTCTGCTTTTCTAAGCAATCCCTCAAAACCGTTCAAAAAAATTTATTATCCCTCCAAAATCTTCAACCACTTAACTTAATGATACCTAATTAAAAAACAAGAAAAAAAAAAAAGGCTCATCCTACAACAAAATTAAATACCCACCATTGTCAAAATATTATTTCGACCTACTAATTTTATGACAAATAGGGTAGCTAACACGCGCGATAGGAGCACCATAGCCAGACTTGTTCGGGGATCTTTTTTAGTTGTTGGTTGTGTAAACAACTATTTTAGGGTATAAATGTCTACATACTATTCTAAATAGTTCAAGAAAAAAAAGGCAATTAACATTAGTAAAGGCCAAAAAAAAGGCAATTAACATTAATGAAGGCAAAATAAAACTTCATATTAATGAAGGTAAACATGTAAATGCACATTTTAAAGGGTATAATTGGCAACACACTATTTATAAAAGTAATCTTGTACTTTTTATAAGGTAGGAAAAATGGCTAGGAATAATTCATCTAAATCATAGAGTTTACTACCAACTTTTTTATGCCTATGAAAATAATTATAACTATAATCTATCTATTATCTATTATCAATAATATAATATTAAAAGTGAATCTGACATGACACTTGTTATATTCTGATTAAAAAAAATTTCCGCCACTTTTACTTCCCTTTTTTTTTTTTATACATTTAACTATGTATTATTGACACTTATTTAATTATATATTATTTGATTTATTTATAATAATAACACTACAATTCAATAACTATAAATATAAACTAAAAATAAAAAAAAAACCTTGATTATTAATTATCACAAAAATAAGTCAATTAAATTTGTACAAAACATTGTGGCGGTCAAAACATGCCAACAAAATAGGGACATTATGAGGTATATACGTACATTTGCACGGGTTCCTTATAAAAAAATACATTGAACGAGTTATAATTAACATAAAATTTAATTCTTATATAAATCCTTATAATCATAAAATTTGCGTTTTTTTTTTTAATATTTAATGATCAATAATTTTTTATATCAATATAATATTTAACTCGAGTAATTTTTATTTTTTTTGAAAAGAAATTCAAGTACTTGTTTCAGTTATAAATATTGATTTTTTTTTAAAAAAAAAATTTGTTAAATTAACATTGTAAATTTGTAATTCATAATTAAGTTAAGTAAAAATCGTGCGTTGCACGGGACTTAAATTAGTGTACTAGTAAAAATGAAACTAAGAGAACACTTGGCCACGTATTATTAAATATTTTCCTTCCAAAATTACTTTTTTAAAAAAAATCACTATTATTAAATATTTTTCCTCCAAAATTATTTTCCCACCAATTTCCCACTACATGGAGTATGACCAAGATATGGAAATGACATTGGAAAGGAGTATTGCACAAATCAGTCATTAAGTGGTTCAACTTAAAATTTAAGTAAATCTATGAATATTTTATTTGTGTAGTATGTCCAACATATGAATTTCTTACACACTTAACTAGTTTAGATTTTATGTTATGCACGATTGTTTTCAAAGCAACTCATAACCAATTTTTCTACAATTAACAGAAACATTTACGTAATTGCAACAACAAAGAGAGAGAGAAAGAAAGTAATGACATTGTGGTCAATAATCTCAAGTTGATTCCCGTAATTAATTGCCAGACTTATATTGGGAATAGGTATTTCCTTGAATTGAGGTTGTGCGCCACTGTCGACTTGAAGAGATTTCAAAACTGCTTTGGAAGCAGTGTGAGTGCAGTGGCTTGGACGGACAGACATACAGAAAATGCTTTATTTTACCTAGTGTAGTGTACTGGTGTAGTGCTAGTATTATCATCGATAAACTGGTTTAAACCCGTGTGTATAATATATGTTTTACTCTTTATTAATGTATCACTTTTTTCACTTCAAAAAAAAAAAAGGTATCACTTGTCTTGGCTAATCCCTATAACATTATAGAAATTAAGGCCAATTTTTTCACATCACACGCGGATTATAGATTTTGGATCACAAATTGCAAACTTAACCATTGTTCAGTTACTAGCTACTTCATCAAATAATCACAAAACATCTAGTTTAAAAAAATTGTAATTTATTAGCAGTATTATTTAACCCGTGACCTCACATTCATTAAAATTAAATTTTAACCACCATTAATATTTGAACCCATGATCTCACATTCATTAAAGTTAAACTTTAACTACCGCTCTAATAACACAACTTATAACAATAAAGTCGTATTAAAAAGAGTTATTCGTTTTAATAATTCTAAATTTTAATTGTTAACTTATATGTGTATATTTCAAAAACAATATGATTGCAAAATTAATCTCATTTCTTCCATTTACTCATTCATAATTCTTATATATAGGTCATATAAATTTAAAATATGTAACCTAAAAATGCATAGCAATTTTAAAAGGTTTTTTCTATTAACCACAAAATACGTTTATGTAGGGAATTTTTCAAACTCAACATATTGAGCCCCACTGTGTTCATACTTTTAGACATGGTGGCGCTCTAAGGGAAGGAACCTAGAGATAGAAGAGTCGCCAATAAGTTTTAGGAATTTGTAAACCGTTCACGGGTGCGAAGGTTACACCTCATTCACGATCACGGAGATCGCTAACTCCATAGTGGTCCGGAACCATGACTGGATATTCGTGGATGATGGTACGAATCCAACCTAAAAGAGATTGAACCCGCCTTAAATTGGCCTCTACTCAATTCTTATGATATTCATGTGCGCTTTTCAATCAACATACATACATCAAATTAGCCCTAAACTTGTTTAATCTACGTTGGTTGATTAGTAATGCACAATCAAATTTATTATTGGTGATCACTTGAATTAAAATCATATTAGCCTAAATTCAAATTATTAATTATCTTATTAGGCGTGATTTCAAGTACAAATTCCCTTTAAACCTACAAAAAGGGGTGTGATCAAGCAATAACAATCAACCATGAATAATCAAGCAATGTATAATCGACACAACAATCATCATCATCAAAATCAACAAAACATCATTACTAAGATCCTAGGCATGATACTAAACGGATTAATAACAAATCCTAGCATGTCACTAATAAAAATCATAATCAAAGCATTATCCTAAACATGATACTAGGAATCATAAAAACATCCTAACATGATATTAGAAATCATAAAAAGCATCCTAACATGATACCAGGAATCATAATAATATTGAAAACATGATTTCTACTCCAAAACCAAGGATTAAGTAATTGAATTACTTACGTTGATGCTCCTCCCTTCTTGTTATTAAAACAATAAACACGTTAGTAACTTCAAGAAAGATTAAATCAATAAAATAAATAAATCAAAATATGAATTGAAATATAGATTTGGGACCAAACCCTCAAAACTATCAACCTTTCACGTCGAGGTCGAAGGCAACATCGAGAATGGCTAGGAGTATTCGAATCTCGTGAAGGAAGTATTGTGTTTGATTGGGGAAAATATCAAGAATGTGTTTAGGCTAGGCTAAGAATATGAAAAATCAAGAGAGCGAAAGTATTAGAAAGGGTATTGATGATGATCGTTGGTGATTGAGAACGGGGTGATACGACCTCTATATATAGGAAAAAAAGAGGGTCGAAGCAATCAGAAAAGATCCAAATTCGAATCAGAATAAAACTCCTTTTATTGAGGCGCGATAGGAGTATTGCGGCGCGCCAGGTCTATCGTGGTGCATGGTCCTGCAGTATTGCGGTTTTTGTTTTTATCATAACTTTTGATCCATAAATCGGAATAAGATAAATAATATATCGTTGGAAAGACCTAAAATTCTACTTTCCAATACAATTAGAATCAAATTGATATATTTTTTATAATTTTATATATGATCAATACAGTGGAACAGTGTCAGTTTTGGATAGAGTTTGGTATTTTAATCATATCTTTTCCGTTTCATATCGGAACTGGGATTATGATATATCATTGGAAAGATAATTTCAAGGGCTATACAACCATCTAATATTTGGATAAAAATTATGAGGCACAAAAATCAGTTTTGACCGGGATTAGATTATCAAAAGAGAGATGTTTTATTCAATATCAAATTCTTTAATCTTTATCTTTCGGGGAAAGGATAAATTAGAACTTTATAGAGGATTCTAAAAGATCCTACTAAATCATAATTGGTTTAGGATTTGAAATAAGGTATTGGACCCTCCTCATGATCATTGGGTTGTAGGTAAGGTGGACCTAGGTCCGGTTTGGGCTAGGTTTAGTATTTTGGTCATAACTTACTCGTTTTGAGTCGGATTTGGGCTTATAATATATCGCTGAAAAGCT